CCGCACAGCCCACCTGAGACCCTGCACAGCCTCCTTAGAGACCGCACAGCCCACCTGAGACCCTGCACAGCCTCCTTAGAGACCGCACAGCCCACCTGAGACCCTGCACAGCCTCCTTAGAGACCACACAGCCCACCTGGAAGCCCACACAGCTTCCTAAGACCCGGCACAGCCCACCTAAGATGCCGAACAGACCACCTGACATGCTGCACAGCCCACCTGAGAGCCTGTACAGCCTCCTAAGACCCTGCAAAGCCTCCTGAGACCCTGCACAGCTACTTGAGACCCTGCACAGCCCACCTGAGGCATCAGGCTGCCGCCCCAGAGCAACACAGAGTATGTCGCTTCATATTATTCTGAATTGCTGTAAAATGTATTGTAGTCCTCTGTAGCTGGTGGAATTCTACATTGCTAATAGCGCAACCTGTGAAAAGCCAGAAGCGACTGACAGCTTACGTAACATGTCTTAAACAGGAAGGGGTGGGGCAAATTTAGATGCGGGTGTGCCTGAGTTTAGTTTTGCCTAGGGCAGCACAAAACCAAACTACACCACTGAGCACAGTGGCTTGTAGACATGTGCACTGCCAAATAATTCGTTTAGTTTCGTTTCGTTTTAAATTCGGATTTGTGTTATTTCGTTTTTCAGGATTCGGGTGTGAAAGTCAATTCGGATTCGGAATTCGGATTCGGACGAAATTCGGTAGCGTTCGTACGAACGTTCATTTCGGTTTCTGTTCTTATTCATTTCTTATTCGTTTCTTATTTGTTTCGTTCGTTTGCAGCAAAAGTGACATTTGAGGGGGAAAAAATATTTTTCTCCTCTAATGTCACTTTGCTCCAACGAACGAAACGAATAAGAAACGTATAAGAAACGAATAAGAAACGAATAAGAACAGAAAACGAAACGAACGTTCGTACGCACGCTACCGAATTTCGGAAATGGAAATTCGGATTCGTTTGCATTCGTTATGTCTGTAATTCGGAATTCGGATACATCCGAATGTCCGAATTTCCGAAAATTCATCCGAATTTCGATTCGGAACGAAACGAATCGCACATGTCTAGTGGCTTGGTGGCTTTCATTCTACAGCTTACACTGGGTAAGAGAAGCATGCATTACAATTGGTTGCTTCAAGAGTCAACCCCCGATGTAGCTGCTGTTGCAGTATTGGTGTCCATATATTATTCTTCTCTTAACTGCTTCCCGGCTGGCCGTGAGCGGGAAACGCCGTCAATTTAAAAACAGGCAGCGATGCCCGTTAACATACAAGCGATCCGCCGGCTATAGAGCCGGCGGATCGCTTGTA